CTATGGCCACAGCTCGTCTGCACTGGTTCTTGCAGCCTTAGTCGACAGATAGGACATACATATTTGTTTTCCAACGGTGGATCAAAGTATTCATCGTCTCTTACAGACCTCGGTTCAACTTCTAGTGATGGTAAACCCAGCTCAGCTAAGGTAACTGTATTGCCCAGCGATGACATAGGCTGGCGCAAGGAACGAGCCAAAAAAATGGATTTTACAATCTACTTCTTTGTCTAAATGAGAGGGAACTCACACGGTTCTCACTGTAGTTGATAAATAACCGACTAGCCGACCGGCCCACCAACTTTTACGAAGTCGCGGGTGCAATAATGCGTGTGTCGTCTGTCGAGAGATTTATTACGACGACAGAGCTTCTGATTGGTTAATTTCTGAAGGCTCTGGTATCCGATTGGTTTGCAGATGCCGGGGAAAATCCATTAAAGTGCATATGACACGAAAAAATTTTTTCCAGTTTTTGGTAGTTCAATATGTATGATAAACTGTGAGACAGTTAAAAATAATTTTTTTTTTGGCTACGACCGTTATTATCCATGCAAAACTTGCTCGATTTTCACATAAAACTGTCTCAGGAGACTGGGCACGAGAAACAAGGTCGTGACGTCAAGTTGTTTGATTGCCAAAGGAGCGATCAAAGTGTTTTAAGAGGAAACCTCGCGTAGTTGTCAAAATTCGTCCGTTCCCAATCCGTTTGTTTCCACGATGTCCAGTGACTCCGACTCCAGTAGTGAATCGTGTGGCTCTTCTGAAAGAATGGATTGGGAGCATAGTGAGAGTTCTGATAGCGAAGCTATCAGAATAGATGGTGTTATCGTCCCGTATCAAGACGAGCCGCTTGCTGATTGTATCGAAGAAGAATCATCGAACGCAAGTGAAGAAACGGATAATGACGGACTTAGCCCTTCGACTTTGGAGGCTAGATTTGAAGGAAATGCGTGTGTGGATTCCTGGTAAGTTGATAGATTTACTGCAAGTCCTGACAAACGTAAGCATAAGCAGAGCTGATTCACGCCCTTGCGTCGCTACGTTTGTCCCATAACACTATTCCTTTATCTCTTCCAGGTGTCAATGCGAGCAATGCAACAATGAGCTGCTAGTCGGTGCTCTCGAGTTTCGATGTTGTAGAGAAGTAACTAATTCATCCGCAAAGATGCTTTTTGATGGTTCTATCGAACGAATCAAGTGCATTACCGAACACGAAGATTACGACGCCATTACGAACCGCGCTGTCCTTTTGCAAGTCGCTCCCCTCCTCAGAAACCAAGATGGAGGAATTTATCGTCGCCGCAATGGAGTGTCAGAAAACGAGTAAGTTTACATATAAATATATATATATATATATCTGTCATTTCTGATTTTGTCACTTGGCTAATCAATTATGATACTTCTGGTTTTATCTCAATTGTTGAATTTTCCAGTCTCAAGAAACGAGGCTCTTGTTGTTCAGTGAGGAAGGGAGGTCCAGTAATCACCCGAGCTGTACATGTTTTAATTTCTCATTTTCATCTTTATATGTAGGTTCATCAGAGCTGTTGCATATAGATGGATCACCAGGTGGCTTTGTGGGTACATTGGCCGAGATAACAGAAGACCACTACCAGCTTGTGTTTATCACAGTAAAAGGAAAAAGTACAACACACGACAACACAAAGGATATGCCAATTTCCAGGAGCATTGAATTCGAGCAAAAATAATCCATGAGTCCATGAAGAAAAACTTGTGATTAAAAAAATGCTCCCAGTCCAGTTTCATTCATCTGGGCTCTATCATTTTACATATACTTAGGATTAAATTAATAATAATGACCATGAAACAGTTGATTTGGAAAAAAAACTGCTAGTCACTTTATTTGCTACTTTTCTTCTGGTGAGCATGTGATGGCCTCTTGCTTTTGCGTGGGCGTCTAGAACTAGATAGACTAGTGCTTGGTTGAGTGTTGACATCAGCTTGATGTGAAGTTTGTTCTGATTCTATAGGAAAACAATAGTTATATAGTATGTGAGTGCATTTTTACAGTATGTGTGTTACCGTGTAGGCCCTATGAAAGTTAGTGTTTAATCCTGTAAATGTGCTTCATCCTTACCTGCCTTGTGATCGGAAAACAAAATTCAGATTTCACAAAAAGCCCATATGCTTGTGTCTTGATGTTATTCAAACCTTTACGCATGAACAGTGTCAGTCTGCGCCGCTTACGTGGTATTTTTTTAACGCCTGGACAGTTTCAGTCAACAAAAAGGCACATGAGATATACTAAAGTAAATATCTGATTTGCGTTAAGAACGGTAGCGATCTGTGACAACGCCTAAGAACAAAGAAACAAAGATGGCTACGGAAGGTAAGCACTCTTATGGTCCTTTTTCGATCGTTCTTTCCAAAGAATACTCAACGAGAAAGAAAATGGGGAAAGATTGCCTAATAAGGAAAGAGTACCATTTAATTATGCATTCCACTGTCTTTCACGACAAAACTTTGAAAACAAAGTCTACCAGTCTGAATGCATAATTAATGTTGGGGTAGTATGGTACTCTTGTCCCGTATAACCCCATACCAATAAAAAACAAAGCCGTAGTCCCAAAGGAAATCTGTTGTTTCGCCTCTGCTTTCCTCTATCCAAGAACTGAATGCATAATGAAGTATGGGGTTATACGGAAATCTTGCCAGAAAAGGGCCTCTTAGTCGTTAAAGTGACGATGAAGATGGTCCTAATGATCCATAGTCGTTTGATCAGAGACATCAGTTTAATTGAACCACAAGGATATCGATATTGATCGAGGCGAGAATGTTGTTGAGATGGAGATCATCTTGTCCATCTTCTTTGTGTAGAAAGCGAAAAACCTGGGAGAACTCCTTACATTGTGATCGTTGTGGACACGGCCTGCGGCTCTCTTAATTTGAACTGGGCATAATTTATTTTCAAGTTCCCAAGTAGGTGAGATTACCAAAAAAAATTGCTCGAACCAGATAATTGAAATTGAAGTACAATGTTTTTTTTTATATGTCGTGTCAGCAGAATTTCAACTTCTAGTTCCTCATAGTTCTAATTTACTCTGCAAAATTAAAAAAGTTTGATTTAATTCATGAGGTTGAAAGAAAGAAACTAGTGAGTAACAAACATACTGCATGTTGTAATTGTAAGTTGCTCGTCAATTGTATTGAGTAAAGTTTAAAAAAATTTGGTGACAGAAACATGCACAGCTGATCGAATTTTTCTTAACTGTATGTTCACTTCAAAATAGAACCATTCCCTCGCTGTATCAATTATGGAAAATTGAAGTTTAATTCTGAATATCAACTTATACACATAATTTGTTGGAGTATTTCAGTGGAGAGCTGCATTGAGCTTTCCAAACATTTACCGGAAAATATAATTTCAGACTTTTGGGTTTTTAATTTCAAGTTACTTTTCTTTGAAAGAGTGACAAAAGTCTTGGCACAGTTTACTGCTTTGAATTTTTTTTTAATGACTTCCATTTATCTCCTCTATATCACATTTCTAGTGTTCTTACTGATTCACTCAACTCCACTGAGTACCTTACTTGGAAAATAATTCACCCAAGACTGTTCCTAAGCTGATTTTACTTTTGGCTGGAAGCAAACACATCCTTCTGAGCATTGAAATTAAGTAAAGAAAAACAAATGATAGTCATTGTCATCTCAGTAACAAAAGTAATGGCCATCAAGTACAATATGACACTATTGAATGGTAATTATATTATCTTTAAGTTTCACTGAAAATTTTACACTTGACATCACTGTTTTATGGAAAAGAAAAAGTTATAATGCTGCCACAAAAGAAAGAACAGGATGACTTGCATATTTTGGTTGTAATTTTCTTCTTTTTACTGGAACATTCAGTTACAAATGCTTACTTTTGAAGTTTGTGCAAGTTTCCATTTGCTACAGTACAGTAAAAAACAGTTGTAAATGTGCACCATGAACAGGTGCCATCTTTCAATCTCTTCCAAATCAACTGTCTGCAAAATTAAAATCCTCACGTTGAGAGCACACTTTGGTACTAGATGTTATAGTACTTTGAAGTACTCTAGTAGTAGAGAGTTGGTGCTCCAAATGGCTAGGAAAAGGTGAGATTTCTCCCGAAGTAGCCAAATGGGTTTTAAATAAAGAAGCGAGACCAGGAGTTGCATTTGGAAACATCAAAAAACACAAAACAAGTAACCCACTCAGACTTGTTACATCTTGTTGTGGCA